GTTTGAAAAGATAAGATACGTTTACTCTGTTAATAAATAATTAAAATAAATCTATGTTACATAAGTTAACATGAGATGGCTAAATTAATTAAGTATTCACTATTAACGTATTGGTTAAAATTATGATTCAAGTTTCACCAGCAATTTTTTTAACTCTATAAAGAAAGGTGTCATAACGTCTCCCTGGGAGATTCGTTAGACTTGAAAAATTAGTTTCGGGGAAAACGATTAAATAGGATTTTGAAAATAATTTGATTTTTGAGTCGCCACCAACCATTAAGTTAGGTATGTTGTAAACCTTAAACGTCAAAAAAAATCTGAGTTTTACCAAAGATTCATTTTTAAGAGTTCTGGAGTCGGTTACGTGTGGGGAAGGGTTAGCACCCCCACAACGCCCAAACTTTGGTACCTAAACGATTATATATTGTCTAAATATTGGAAATTACAAACTCGAAAATAAATTTAAATTACGATCATTTTATTCATTCGAATTTAATTTAAAAATGTGAACAATCTTCGGGAACGCACTTCCTTGATAGTCATGAGACTTTCCCATAGATTCCCCTCACAAAAACGATATTTCACAAATTTCGCCATGATAAAATAAAATACAATAAAATAGAACAAAATCAAAATGAAAAACGATGAAAAATACCCAAAATAAATAAACGTGGAACAAAAAAAATTATCGAATATAAAACAACATTTATGCGAAAAATCTTCGCAAAGACACATTCCCTTGTAGTTAGGAGATGTCTTCGAAGATTCCCCGCACAATGAAATTTTCCATTTTTTATACATACATACATACATAAAATTATAACGATCAATAAAACAAAGTTACAAACTTTGACTAATTTAAACATGTATGCAAATATGATATATTTAAGATATAAATTAACCATACTTGATAACATAAAGGACTAAAATAAAAACAACAAATGTTACAAACCCAAAATAAAATACCAAAATAAGTATTTAAGGGACTAAAATATAATTAACAGGAATTGAAAAGGCTAAATAGTAAATACAGAAAGTTAAAGGACCAATATAGCAAATATAGAAACCTAAAGGACTAAAATAGATAAAATAGAAAGTTAAAGGATTAAAAAAGTAAAAATCAAAAGTTAAGGGTCTAAATAGAAATTACATATATTTAAAGGACTAAAATGGTATTAACATAAACTAAAAGGGCTAAACATTAATTACAAAATAAACCAGAGCCCACATCACAAATATTAAATAATACCAGTACCAGTGTCCATACTTTTTTCACTGTGGAAAACATTAATTTAAGGTTATCTTTTGAGTGAGTTTTAATATATTAATTTAGTAATTATAGGCGTCTAATGATTTATTTTTTACGTTACGATATTATTAAATTAAAAACAATAAATATATTACATTTATTATTATCTTTGGTATATTGTTAAATTTAAATTCTAAATATTATTTTATAAAATATCAAAACAATCAAATAATTTTTGTGCAAATGAAATTATTAAATTAAATTGTAGGTGAAAAACATGAAACACTATTAAAAAATTGAAACATAAATTACATAACTTTAAAAAAAGTATCGATCTTTTTTATAAAAAAGTATAGACACTTTCAACATATTATAGTGTAATAGGTAAATTTGCAATGCTATCGGTATAAATATACCGGTTTACTTATAAAATAGGTCAATATAAGCGCTACCTATTACATTATATAAGCGCTACCTAATATGTTATTGTACTTTATAATATTTCCGGTTAAATAATATAACATAATCAGTCTAAATTTTAACCGGTCACTTGTTTAACCGGTCATGCTGTATATTAACCGTTTTTTAGGCGCCGCACCAGAGAACTATCCTTGATGATGAGTTGAATCGAGAATGCAGGAAGCTAAGCAATTCCTTCAATCACGCCGGGAAAAGAAGAAAGTGAACCTTATTGGAAATAGCAACTACCAAATCATACCTAACTTCCTTTCCTCATTCACCAATCTCTCTTCGTTTTTCTTCGACGCTTCTATTCACTTCTTCTTTATATACATTCATAGTAATCGTCCAAAGTAATTTTTTTCATATTTTAATTAAAGTATCTATGATACTATTATATTATCTTTTAATCTATTTAAATTAAATTTCCCAAACTTTATAGAGGAGTATAGCGATTATATCTAAGGATGGACATGACTCGGATCGGATATTTTTCATCCTAAATCCGAATATTCAATCTTTAAATATAATAGACAATTTTGTTTATTGTCCACCTATATTCATTTTTATTGAAGCGTACTTGATGTTATATCCTTTTATATATTATATTAATAATAATATCAACTAAATTAAATTTTATGGAATAAATTTTACATAATACAAATCTAAAATACAATAATATAATTTTTATATGAAAAAGAGAATTGCCTAAAATCAAACTCGAAAATATTTATGAAAGTTAAGATGATGCTCTTTATTATTATACTACAAATTTGATTATTTTAATTATAATTCTGATATGTAAAATTATATAATAGTGAAGAATTGCAACAAACCAACTATTTTTCAAGCAATTTTTTTGGAAATATTTTGTAAAAAATTAGAGTTTTAAATCAAGATAAATAATCAAAGTTCCATAGGTTTCATTAAGTTTAAAATCAAAATCAAAGTATTATTACTAAATACTAACCCTCTTTAAAGAAATAAACAATCGATCGTTTACCAATCTATAAAGTGCAGGTGAGCAACCGTTATTCCATATCGCGTGGTTATTTTTAGGGTAAAGAATGCAAATGGTACATCGATTATAGAGTATTTTTTATTAGGTTCCTCGACTATTGAAAGCTATAAAATAATTTTCGACTGTGGAGTGTTGTTTCGTTGAGTCTTTCAACTATTAAAAGTTACAAAATAGTCACTCGACTATTCATTATGTTCCAAACTCGTCATTTTCCGTTAAAAATTGGTGGTTGTTTAAGCTCGAGTTAACATGATAACTGAAATATGATAGTCATTTCTGATTTTTGGATCAAATTTTATCATATCATAGTCAATAAGTTAACATTCAACTCATAATATCGTCCATTTTTAACGAAAAACGACGAGTTTGGAACATAATGAATAGTTTAATGAGCATTGTGTAACTTTTAATAGTCGATGAACTAAAAAACCAATACTCCATAGACGGGTGACCATTTTATAGCTTTTAATAGTCAAGGGGTTTAATAAAATAGTATCCTATAGCCGATAGACTATTTGTGTTATTTATCATTATTTTTATTATATGTAAAATTACTATCATATTCATACACTAATAGATCCAAAAGGATTAAAACATCAAACACAATATAAGGATAAAGAAATAAGTTTAATCCTTTAACTTTCAAAAAATTATAAAATCATTCCTAAATTTTATTAAATCATTATAAAATAATCTAAATTTATAAATTTTTTATAATTATTATAATATCACAATGACAAAAAAAATTTATAATTATTATAATATCACAATGACAATTTTACAATAACTTGATATATATAATAATATTTAATAATTTTAAAAAATATAGTGATCAAAATTATTATTTAAAGCATAGTTTAGTAACTTTGGGTATTTTTACCTTAGCATTTGGATACGTGGCACTATTGAAGTATCATGTCAATGGCAGGGCTAAACCTATTCTGATATTTTTGTTTTATTTATTTTATTTTCAGAATCATAATTAATATTAGGATGGTAACGGGACGGTTTCGGGTCGGGAATTGGTCATCATCCTTGTTCCCGTTTAAAAAATTCGTACTCGTCCCCGCTTAAAAAGCCGCGGGGATTTAAACGGGGATTCTCATCGGGTAATCGGGAAAAATCGCGGGGAAACGAGTATCTCCATTTAGCATAAACAATTATTTAAACTGAAAAATTACCCTTTTAAATAACCGTTTACCTTAGATGGTTATTTTTCACCGCGGGAATCCCCGTTACCTTTTAAATTTCACACGATGACACGAGTTATTTAAAAAATAATGTCATTATCAGATCTAAACTTACTTGAAACGCCAAACACTACCAAATGCATCTAAAATATAAAAACAAAACAATTCAAATAGACAAATATAATGACAACGACTAATAATATAATGTTTCAACTTTCATAAACGAAATCCTAATCTCCTTTATATATATTTTTTAATTTAATTTAAATTTATTAATATTATATATATATAATAATTATTTTAAATATTTATCAGGCCGGGTATTTAGGTAATCTGGGCGGAGATTACCAAATCCGTCACCGTTTAAAAAATTCGATTTTTTTCCCGTCCCCGTTTATCATCCCTGAACCCGACCCGTTTAATTCGATTTTCGATTTTTTCCGACGGGTTCAATTTTTTTTGCCATCCCTAATAAATATTATGTTTTTTTGCCATCCCTAATTAATAACAGTTTTAATATCTAAAACATGCACATTTCATCATATTGATTTTAACTCAAATTAATTCAATAAATCTTTAATATTTAAAAATCCCATTAACATGGTTTCATTTTATTTTTAAAATTTTATTGATAATTTATTATTATTTTTAAATATTAAAAATTTATTGAATTGTTTCAAATTATGACTAATTTAATAAAATGTGTAAGTTTTTAGAATACAATAATTACTATATCATGCTACATTATAATTTTTATTAAGTCAACAGTCAAACTTAACATATGATATCAAAATAGAAATGAAATGCAAGTATAGATATGATTTAGAAAAAGTTGAATGACTAAAATAAAAATATAAGAATAGATAAAAAACCAAATATGCAATTTATCCATAAAGATTCAAAAAGAAGGTAAAATTTGAAAAAACAAGTGGCCGTTAGTAGCAAATAATAAATAAAAACTCTCTCTGGGAGGAAAAAGAAAAGTTGAAAACACCCTCTTGTACTTTGAATGCAACACAACAGATACGAAATTAAAAACCTCGTGATTCTTTGAGAGATAGAGAAAGAGACACCAAATCCAAACCCAATAGATATAATGAACAGTTCAGTAATGGTGACCAAAGGAGGCGGCTGTGGCGGTGGAAGTGGTAGAAGGCGAAGAGCTAAGAGCTGCGAAGATGCAGAAGAAGAGCAGAACAAGATTTCCGTCGCTGCGTTGCTTTTATCCGCTTTAAGGAAATCCATGGTGTCTTGTCGTGTTGATAGGGAAGATGAAGCGATGTCCTCCTCCGTCGTTCATCACACGGAAATTGGGTGGCCAACGAACGTTCGACACGTAAGCCATGTGACATTTGATCGGTTCAATGGGTTCTTGGGCCTTCCCGTTGAATTCCAAGTTGAGGTACCCGGTCGGGTTCCAAGTGCGAGGTATTTGTTCCTCTCATATTTTTTGTTTGTTTAAAGAAGATTTCAGCTGGGTTTTTAATTTTTTTTAGTTGCTTAAATTTGAAATGTTAGTATTTTTGTGCATTTTAGATCTTAAAGAGTAGATAATTGCTGATTTTTAGTAACCATGACTAAAAGAAAGTGGGAAAGAGGAAAACATCTGCATTTTTAACTAAATTACAATTTCTAGTAAGAAAAAAAAGTGATTTTTTAAATGTAAAATATTTTTTTTCTGGCAGTGCGACTGTATTCGGGATCTCAGCCGAGTCAATGCAATGCTCATTGGATTCAAAAGGGAATAGCGTTCCCACTATACTGTTGCTGATGCAGGAGCGGCTTTATTCACAAGGAGGGCTTAAGGTTTTCAATTTTATTATATTCCAATATTCACATCTATATGTGATTACCTGGTTATGATTTTAATTCTGTTTAATTGTTCTTATATTTTGATCAGGCAGAAGGGATTTTCAGGATAAATCCTGAGAATGGCCAAGAGGAGTTTGTAAGAGATCAGCTGAACTGGGGCATCGTGCCGGATGACATCAATGTCCACTGCCTTGCAGGCCTTATAAAAGCCTGGCTTAGGGAGCTTCCTTCAGGGGTGTTGGATGGACTTTCCCCGGAACAAGTTCTCGGTTGCGATAACGAAGATAAATATGTCGAACTAGTGAAGCAACTAAAGCCGATGGAAGCCGGACTGCTCGATTGGGCGGTTGATCTTATGACGGATGTTGTTGAAGAAGAGGAATCGAACAAGATGAATGCAAGGAATATTGCTACGGTTTTTGCTCCAAATATGACTCAGGTAAATATTTGGGAGATTGTTTGATCAATGATGTGCTTAAAATGTTCATATTAGGTTGATTGTCTTTTGTCTCTTGAAACAGGTGTCTGATCCATTGACGGCTCTGATGCATGCTGTTCAAGTTATGAACTTACTCCAGACCTTGATCATGAAAACACTACGGGAGCGTGAAGAGACTGCAAGTTTATCGTATGCATTTGATGGCCCTACGGATGATGAGTTTGATTGTCGTAGTCTGCAAGAGATGGATACGAGCTGTGAAGAGATATCAGATTACAGTAATTCCCTTTATGCTAACTCTAGCGGAGACGACAATGAATATGAAGACGAAAATGAAATTGAGCCATTAGGTGAAATAGCGGTGCACTTCTTGAGGCAACTGGAAGACGAGAATTCGAGCGTGAATAGGAGTTACAGAGAGAGCATTGATGATATGGAGATGACATAGGAAGTAGTGGAACCTACAACACTCCAATGGGGACTGCAGGTTGACTATGTTTAGAACAATATCGACGTCTCTTCCATTACGCTGTTTCTTTGGTAAACCGATAAAGTTGGATGGGGTTTCGGTTGGAAGTCTGATAGGGGAAGGCATTAGATTTTGTATGCTTGAATCACTGATTCAGCAAGGGCTGAACTTGTGTGTGCGTGTGTTGTTTTTGGCATGTGTTCTTTCAGGTCCCGAAATTAGGGGTAAAATTGGGGCCGATGTTACTGTTAAGTCTCTTAGATGCATGAAGGCAGATGTGCAAATGAGGGATTTAGATTCAGCTTTATAGGGAAGCTGTGGTTGATTTTCAGTGTTGAAGTTCAAGTCATTTAGACTTGGTTGTACACTAGCTAACTTGACTATTTGATTGTCTTGTAATCTCCTTTCTATCATTGTATTATAGTTTATGTTATTCGGATATATATATATATAGATATCAGCTTTGTTTCTAATTGATGTATGGAATTTGTCTTGCAAAACAAATTGAAGTTGAATGAACACATACCAGAAGAGACTGCCCCATCTGTAAAATCAGAGGTTTGTTCAACTAAGTTATAGGCGTACATGTGAAATTGTTCTTGCCAGTTCGTTGACGATGATAACATGTGCCACTTGGAGATCAACTATGCATTCGGCATCCCCAAGGACTGCGCTTCAAAGACACAACCTGATGATGAGGTCCATCAATCAATGTTCTTATGTAGTGTTCGGGCAGTCTAATAAAGAGTAGACGAATATTGTAGCTGAAATTTATATCTTTTTAAAGTGAAAGTTATAATAGCTGATCGAAAGATACTGTTATTTAACTCGGTCACTTAAATGTATTACATCATATTTTTGTGATTACAGTATAGATTGAATGATTAATTTGTTATAAAATAAAAATATTGATAAATAAATATATTAATAATTGTTCCGTTATTTTTAAAATATTAATATTATAAATAAAAATTTATTCATATTTAAATGATCATTCAATGTACTCTGCCCAATAATAAACCTTTTCTGGGTACTTTTCACTTTATTATTTCTATAGATAGAAAAATAAACATAACGTGCATCTTCCATCGTATTAATTTTAAAGGTAAATTATGTATTAAGTAACTAAAATATCAATTTTAATTTATTTTAGTATATAAATTTTTAATTTTTTTAAAAGCATATATAATGTTTAGTTTTTGTTTTATTTTAGTATCAACCGTTAAAAACTTAACGTTTTTAATACCTAAACTATCAGTTTTGATATGTTTTAATACCTAAGCTTTCATATTTTTTTTTCAAAAACTTAACGTTAAATTTTGAGCGTAAGTATTAAAATGAAATAAAAATTAAACTTTAAATATAATTTTAAAAAATTGAAAGTCTAATTAATAAAACAGACCAAAACTAATAATTTAAGCATTACACGCGTAACTTACCCTAGTTTCAATCACGTCAAATTAAAATTGTTAATTCAGACTCCAACCTGGAAATTTAGTTCCTTCTTCTTGAACTCAAATTTTACCCACTCCAATCTAATCACAAAAATTAATTCAAACTTATCTAATTTGTTTAGTTTTAAACTTGAAATAAATTAAATAAATAATTGAAAATGATTAGAAACTGCAATGATTACAACGTAAAACAATTTGATTCCAAAAATTTTAAATCTCAGTACGAATGAGATTTTTGTGATAAAATAACTATTGTTATTTTCGAGTTGATACACTAAAAATATCAATACGTTCGATATCTTATGATTGAGAGTTATTTAAACAATTCCTATAAAAAAAAAAAGAGTTATTTAAACAACACTGCCTTACTGACACGATATTAATAAAATAAAAACTTCAAATCTAAGCTATCGATTGTGCTTTAGGCACAAGGATTCCTGATCTGAAAGCTGTCATGGCTGTTATTCTCTTTTCATAAAAACGCCAGAGATACATTTTCTTCTCCGTAATAATAGCTCTCCATTACCGAGTTGATGTATGCTCTGCGGGTTTAATTGTATGAAAACGCTAAACCCACGACATTAATCTATAATCTAATAATTCTCGGAGAAACAAACTAGAATTTCTATAATCCATCGATTCATTTGTATGTTTTCTTCTCATAGATAGATAGAATCATGTTTATCTATATGCAACTAGCACCAATTTCAAACAAAAGAAGTAAAATATACGGAGAACATGGAGAAGGCATAAACAGGAGAGTCGGGAAAAAGGAAAGAAAGAAAAACCCAGATTTTCTAAGAGGCCAAACACGCTTCCCAAAACAGCCTGTTCTTTTCCGTCTCATTCATGGTTTCGTTGGGGTTGTCGACGGAAACAGCCAAGGATGGTTTCTTTTCTTTGGCCACAAAAATACCATTAATAATTTGATCTTCCCTGCAACATTTCTTATACAAATGGACCTCCCTTTGCTCCACCACTCCATCGTCGTCGTCATCATCATCAAAGTCAAGGCCAACATCACCACGGATATTAGCAAATTTGTTTTCTAAGCTACCAGTCTCTATAATACCAGGAAGAAGAATATCAGAGCTACACGACTCAGCATCATCGTCATCGTCTTCACCGTTGATATCCGCCATGGCGGCATCGAAATTACAACCGGATTCCGAATCGCCGGTAGCCTCGAAGAGCAAGAAAGAAGACACGTCAACAAGTGTACTTCTCCTAATACCCATATCTTTAGTCAAACAACAATTCCCAAAGAGAAAACAAATAAAGATTTATCACTACTGACTCTGTTGTATTAGGGATTGTCTCAGGAAAGGCGGGTTAATATACGGTTAATATACAGCATTATCGGATACATTAAAATGTATTTAATAAATTCGATTTAGCGGTACCTATTATGTTGACAACTAATAATGTTTTAGGTAGAAAATATGAAAAACTATTAAAAAATTTGGTAACCGGTAAACTTTGGTTATCGGTAAGTATCTATCCTTTTTATAAAAGTGTCCATACGTTTAACATATCAAGTAAATTTTACCGGTTTTGTCATAATGAATCTGGTTTTGTCATATTTTTACCTGTTATATTGTAAATTATCTATCCTTTTTATAAAAGTGTCCATACTTATTTCACTGTGAAAATATATTTATTATTATCTTTAGTTAATATTGTTAAATTTAAAATCTAAATAATATTTTATAAAATATCAAAACAATCAAATAATTTTTTGTGTAAATGAAATTATTAAATTAATATTGTAGGTGGAAAACATGAAACACTATTAAAAAAATTGAAACATAAATTACATAACTTTCAAAAAAGTATATATCATTTTTATAAAAGTGTCCATACTTATTTCACTGTTGAAAACATATTTATTATTATATTTGGTTAATATTGTTAAATTTAAATTCTAAATAATATTTTATAAAATATCAAAACAATCAAATAAAATTTTGTGTAAATTAAATTATTAAATTAATATTGTAGGTGGAAAACATGAAACACTATTAAATAAATTGAAACATAAATTACATAACTTTAAAAGCAGTTTTAAATCCTAAAAAGTGTCGATACTTTTAAAAAATATATCGATCCAAAACGATATACCAGGTAAAAATATGATAAAACCGGTAACAAAATGATAAAACCGGTAAATTTAAAAGTGTCGATACGTTATATAAGGATCGACACTTTGTGAATTTAAAAGAGAAGCAGTTATAGCGCCTATAATGTGTCGATACTTTAAAAAAATATATCGATCCACAACGATATAACAGGTAAAAATATGATAAAACCAGTATCAAAATGATAAAACCGGTAAAATGATACCGGATATATTGAAAGTGTCGATACTTTCGTAAGTACGTGTAATAAATTATCGACACTTTCAAAGAAATAGGTAATTATCCTTTCGAAAGTATCGACACCTGACATAAAAGTATCGACACTTTTGTATTTGTATCGATTAAATATAAATAACATATCCGATGAAAATATAAAGACCATAGCTAAATATCCTCTGAAAAAAGATAGAACGGACGAGTTTTTGAAATCGAAGAGTAATTGTTGCTGCATTTCAGAAGGCGTTTCTAAAGCGAAGTTTGTTTGTTTGTTGCTGCAGTCGAATCGAAAAGTATGTTGTCGAAACCCTAATTTTTTATTATTACAGTAATCGCGATAGGGTTTTTTATGTGTTGTTTGGGGTTTTGGAGTAAGGAAGCATTTGGGACCGATTGCAGGTAGAAATAGATATTCAAGGAAAAATATAAATGTCGATACTTTTATTAAATATTATAGGTAGAAAATGATATTATAGGTTGTATAAATGTGCCGACACATTTTGGTGTGGCCATTCAAATTCTTTGAAGAAAACCGTTTTACCACAAGAGTAGTTATCTATATTTGTATATTGAAAAGTGTATGTAACAAAATAATTTGATTTGCGTAAACTGATATATGAAGGAAAAATGGAGTCAATGGGTTGGAAAATTGTTGGTGGAGCAGATGACTTTGAAATTGAGGCCGAGACTCGAAAGCAACCAAAGGGTGGATATATGTACTTCTAGTAAGTATCAATGTCTTTTTGTTATTATTGTTGAAATGGTAATTGGATTAAAGTATCGATAAACTTTAAATGGATTACAAATTTTAAATGTTAACAGTATGGCCGAATGCAAAAGGATGAAGGGAGATGGCACACAGAGCGGTTCGGTATGTAAAATGAAATTGACATTGAGTAGTATTAGTATTTAGTGTTAATGTATTGATTAAGAAACGTTTATGTTTAATATTAGGTGAAAAAAGATGTGAGGTCCAAATGGAATTCAATGAGTGATGCTGAAAAGGAACCTTACATCACACAGTCAAGGAATGATAGTAAAGAATACAAAGAACGGAGGAAAGCACATGAAAATAAGGTATTCATTAAACTTGTAAATACGTTGATACAAAATATATAAGAACTATAACATTATATATTTTAAAAATATAGGAAGTGTCGACAAGATGCAGCATTAAAGGGTGAATTTATTAATTAAACACCTTAAGGAGAAAGGTCAGTTGAATGTGCTGGGAGAAATAGGTTTTGGATCGTTGATCGGAGTAAGGGATCGACCTATTCGGAGGGAATTGTGTCGATCCTTGATGGCACAATTTGACGTCAGTCAATGTATGGCTAAGTATGGTGATTATTCATTCCCTCTGGGGGTATCGACTGCTGCAGCCGTATTGGGGTACAAAACAAAGGCAAAAGTGTTATAGAAGTATGTAGGAGTAAGAACTGGAAAGCACTTGCCTCCAAATATGGTTTGAATCATAAGGTGACATATACTGAAGTTGAAGAGGATATCAAAAGTGGATCTTACTTGGGGGATGAGCTGAAGGCCCGAGTTCTATTGTACCTTGTCGGTATATTTCTTTGTCCAATGGGTGATACGTCAACGAACAAGGAATATATGAAGCTCATTTGCGATGAAGGCTTGAAGGGTGAATTCAATTGGGCTGAATATATCCATTCGAGATTGATTGAATCAATTATCACCTTTAAAAAGGGCAGCCAGAGATACCTCAAAGGGTGCATAGCAATCTTAGAGGTAAATGAGTTGAATCACTTTTTTGTGTTTTTATATAAAAATATAAATTTTATTATAAATGCAGGTTGCACTGTTCGATTTTTGGTCGGGCTGTGAGGCAGTGCCGGCTTATGAAAGAACCGGAGTGGCACGCATCCGTGCATGGGGGAAGGAAGAGGTGGTTAGAGTGATGGTGAAGTTGAAGTTGGATAGAGGGAAGAAGCAAGAAATGGTAATAAATGTAATTAAATAATATTAAGAATATAATCAATGTCTTAATATTGTAATTTAATTTTTTGAAGGTTATTGGCAAGGATGTAGAGGAGGCAGTGGAGGCAGAGGAGAAGAAAGGAGGGATGGTTGTATTGGGGGATGAAGGTGAGTGGGACGACGGTGAAGCAAACAGAGTAACTTCGACATTTTGATGTCTGAATTGGCTGATATCAAAAAAATCCAATTTGAAATCATGCAAAGACAATCAAGAGTCGAAGAGAAACTTGATCAAGTCGTAGAGAAACTCGAGAGGCATAAGGGGGTAGTGGAAGGAAAAATAGATGGAGTGGTGAAAGAAGTAGAGGTGTTGAGGGTGAAGTGGTGAAAGAAGTTTCGGTGTTAAGGGGTGATATTAAGATGGTGACGGAGAAAATTTGAGGGAGTGGTGAAGGAGGTTGTTGATTTGAGGAGTGAACTTACGGGGGTGAAGGGGTGGTTGATAAATACTCGGATGAAGGAGCTCAATTGAAGGGTGAAATAAAAGATATGAAGAGCTATGTAGAAAAAAAGTACGATGAACTGAAAAAATATGAAGAAGAAAAGAGGGAGGAGGAAGAAGAAGAGATGGAAGAAATGAGGAGGAAGGAAGTCGATGTCATTTATACACCGGAGAGTGTTATAGCAGCAGTTTTGGATTCGGAATATCCTGCACCCCAGAAGAAGAAGCAGAAGGTAAGTTTAATAAAAGAATACTTAATTTGATTTTTATTATGTTGTTGTGACAAAAATTTGTATGCAAAATTGTAGGTTGAAAAAGCGGACATTCCAACCGGAATTGATGACATCGAAGCTGCAATTTGTGATTATTTATGGAATAGCGAGTTAGAATCGGGGTAAGTGAAATATATTGTTTTGTGAGTGATATTTAAATATTTCATGACAAGATATTAATCCTAATGATTCATACAGATATTCTGTAATATCAATGGGAAATCAATTCGCTACTGTATACGACGTTGCAACGTTGAAGCCTACGGAATGGGTTGGCGGTGTGGTAAGTAGAAAGTAGAAAATAAATAAACTTATTGAATATGTTCTGATTGTGTAATTAATTTTGTTAGGTTATCGATTTGCTCGCCTGGACCATATGCTACGATTCTCAAAAGTCACACCGGAGGATTGGCTACCTTCCATACCTCTTAGTGGTGAGTTAAATTAATAAATATTGAAAAGTAGTGTTATAGACGGTAAATTAATAATGTTTGTTGCGTAATTACAGCAACAGGCGTTGGAAGCCAACAATAAAGAAAGTGTTGAGAATATTTCTACCTTCTGGGGTGTCATATTGGATAACTATGTGAAATTCACCGACTGTGAGAAGGTAAGACACCATACCAATTGCAAATGATGTTTTCGGATATAGAATGTTGAATTTTGTCAAATTGGGTGTGAAATTTGTTGCAGATAATGATCACAATAAACTACCATAATTCACATTGGTATCTGTTGGTGTTGGATATGGTAGATCATGTTGTAACAATATATGATAGTATGTTTACAACTGAAGCAGCTAAACAGAGAGTGAAGGATGCTAAGAGATTGGTATGTATGTATGTATGAAAGGACATTATGTAAATTATAATGCATAATTTTTTTGGTGCATAACTTCTTCTATTTTAATGCAGATTAAAATATTAGATTCTTATAATAAGAAACGCATTTGGGTTGAGTCATGTGGATCTCTAGGAAAGTATCCCTTGAAAAATTTCAAATTTGTGGAGCATAAGAAGAATAAGCAATTGAATGGGTATGAGATGTTATCACAAATAGAAAGCTTAATTTATGCAATATTCATCATAATTGACATGTGTGGTTTTCAAATTTTGTAACAGATATGATTGCGGCATGTATGATGATGTGGATGGAATCGATCGGTTCTA